CTATCCTCATGTCTACAGTCCCATGTTTCCTCCTCCTAACTCCTCCCCAGCTGTTCTTCCTCATTCTCCGACTCCATTGTCTCCTCCTCCTTTGACCGCCTGGCCCTCTCGTCGCTCTTCTCGTGCTCGTCCCTCGTCCCCTGTCGCTCTCACTGACCTTCGTACTGCCCTGTTCTGTCCTAGTCCGCCTCGTTAATCTCAGTCTGTGCTTCCTTCTCCTCCTGAGTCGGCCTATACTGCTTCCCTCTCTACTCCTGTCACTGACTACTACCGCACGTACCGGCCTGTTCTCCCTCGTGTTCTCGCCTCTCTTGTTACGAACCCTCGTGCCTCTCTGTCCTTTGTCTCCGCCCTTACTGTCGCCATCACTGAGTTTGCCACTACTCGCCCCCTTGACTACGCCACTTGTCTCGTGGCTGCTCCTCCTACCAATCCTTTGGCCGTTGGGGGTGAGTCTTCCCTTCGCTGTGACGCCCTAGAGGACAGGCAGTTTGAGCTAGAGTTCGTGGCAGCCGCTTCCCCTCATCTCTGTGCCATGCTGCTCGCCCCTGAGGGAGACCCCGACGCCCTTGACATATCGACTCCTCGCACTTACGCTGAGGCAGTGTCAGGGCCTTGGGCCTCTCAGTGGAGAGCTGCCATGGACACAGAGATGGCCTCCTATAGATCCACAGGCACCTACGTCGACGAGTTCCCCCCCCCTGGGGCGGACGTAGTCGATGGCATGTGGATCTATAGGGTGAAGCGGCCAGCGGGATCTCCTCCAGTCTTCAAGGCGCGCTATGTGGGTAGAGGTTTTAGTCAGCGCGAGGGAGTTGACTTCTTTCAGACCTTCGCGCCTACCACGAAGATGACCACTCTTCGGGTGTTACTACACGTAGCATCACAGAGAGACTACGAGTTACACTCTCTCAACTTCTCCAGTGCTTTCCTTCAAGGTAGCCTACACGAGGAGGTCTGGCTGCGTCGTCCCTCTGCCTTCACTGACACTTTCCCTCCTGGGACCCAGTGGAGGCTGAGGCGACCTGTCTACGGTCTCCGTCAGGCTCCTCGTGAGTGGCACGACACCCTTCGTTCTACCCTCTTTGACCTTGGTTTCCAACCGTCTTCTGCCGACCCGTCGCTGTTCGTCCGTCGTGGCTCCACACCTTTCTTTGTTCTGGTCTACGTTGACGACCTCGTTTTCGCCACTGCTAACAGGGTTGCCTTGGCAGACGTGAAGTCCGAACTGCAAAAGAGACACACGTGCACGGACCTTGGTGAGCTGCGCCACTACCTTGGCTTGCAGATCACCAGGGACAGAGTCACACATGATGTAGCAGGTTCTTCAGCTGTTCAAGCTTCAGCACTCCACAGTACAGCGCACACCTCTTGCTGTTGACCATAGACTTACTGGACCCTTTTCTGACGAGTCGTTTGAGTCTAGTGGTCCCTACGTGGGCTGCCTCATGTACGTGATGACTTGTACTCGCCCGGACCTCGCCTTCCCTCTCAGCATCCTTGCCCGCTTTGTTGCACCAAGGAGACACCATCCTGTTCACTGGACGACAGTTGTGAGGGTGGCAAAGAACCTAACGACGACATCAGGCGTGGGGCTAGTTCTTGGAGGGCAGAAGTCTGTCGTACTTACTGGTCACTGTGACTCTTCTTACGCTGACAACGCTGAGACTCACAGGTCTACTCAGGGGTACTGTTTCAGCTTGAGTTTTGGAGCTGTTTCGTGGAGGTCCACGCGCTCCTTTTCGGTCTCGACCTCTGCTGCTGAGGCTAAGATCTACGCTAGTGCCATGGCGGCACAGGAGTTGCGTTGGTTGACCTTCTTGCTCGCCAACCTTGGCGAGCGGCCGAGCTCTGCACCGACCTTGTTCACTGACAACAAGGCGTCGATTCTCCTCTGTCTAGAGCCGCGTCTGGAGAGCAGAATGAAGCACATTAACGTCAGGTACTCTCTTCTGCGTGAGTTGCAGAGACGTGGATAGGCTCGCTTCGAGTTTGTGGAGTCCGAGGCCAACACTGCAGACATCTTCACCAAGGCGCTTCCGCCTTGTGACCACCAGAGGTGTTGTGTGCAGTTAGGTCTTGTTGACACAGGTTCTGGTCGTGTGTAGGCTTGAGTTTACTGTTTGCTTTGCTTGTACTCTTGCCATACACCTTTGTGAACTCTTGGACTGGCCTTGTGGCCCCTGTTGCTTGTGCTCAGATCGTGTGGTGACGTTGTGATCCACCCTGAGCTTTGTTTTTTTGTGGCTGGTCTTGTGACCATACACTTTTGGTTTTGCTTTACACCCCTCACTTAGGCTATGGAGGTGTGTCAAATGTTGTAGCCTGTAGTGAGGTTTGTCTTAGGGGGTACAAATGTTAGGGTTTGCTGTATGTACCCCAACTCCATCAATAACACAACACTTTCATTCTTAACAGGTACATACAGAGCAATCCCGCAGTAGAACCATGAAGTGACAGACAGCCATGTTAATTACACACCATAAAACTGTTTGTTAATACCACAAACAACGTTGAATGCCTTTGGTCATTGTTGAGCCTGGTGGCGTCTAAGGGCTGAACCTCCATCGTTATAGGTACCCTAAACAAGGTTATGGTTGCTATTTGTCGTGTAGATGTGGAGCGGTGGGGAGCGGTAGGGAATCCCAGGACACCACCGCGAATCCATGCATTTCATGTGCGTGAGAGTAAAAGATGGGCTCTGGGCTCTGCCACGAGTCACGGCGTTGAGTCCCTGTGCATGCACAATTTGTAGATACTGGAATGGCTGAAAGTGATTTGTTAATTTCTTAATCTCTACTTCTGGTGAAAATGTCAAGTACGCGGTGTAGCTTGGAACCACATCGCGCCCGTTTCCCCAAATTGCTTAAAACGACGATTTCGCCAACGGGCGGGCCGACCCTCCCTTGCAGAGAAGCAACCTACCTCCCTCCCTGCCCAGATTTGTCCCCTATCCTTCCACCCTTCCCTTCCACCCCTCGATACGCCTCAGCTCGCCACCCTCACTGCGTTACCGCCAGCCGCTTCCATGACTAACCCGCATTAGCTTTTCCCTTTTTCCTCCACCAACCGCCTAGTCGGACCCGAGGAACTCCATTTTCCACGTGCCAATCACGTCCGAGCGTAGTCCGTCACTAAACATTGGCAATGGCGGCTCAATCGAGGCGCAGTCCGCCTTCACGTCAGAGTCCGAGTCCAAGTGCGAACCATGGGGAAGGGTTATATATTAGAAGCTGCAAATCACCACAATCATCACAGCTTCTGCCTCCGTTCTCTTTTCTACTTACGATCTCGCATACCAAGCACCTCGCGGCTCACGTATTTGAATCCTCCGGTGTGATTCTCATTTGCATTAACGTGTACGGTTAGCTTTTCACCGCTGACAGTTTGACACCGTTTTCGTAATGGCCAACTCCTGGATTCACTCGGCTCACAAGCTGCTTCCTCTCACTCTCTCTTGTCAGAATCCCAACCAGTAGACCATTGGGATAGAAGGGCTTTTTTTCAGTAGCGGGTCAGTGCGCCCATAACCCCCCAGGCACCGAACTTGGCTTGTGCAACGAAGAGCTGTGTGGTGGGATGGGGGGAAGGAGAGAGGGATGAAGGCGGGCGGTGAGCGGAAGCATGAGGAGGTGAGACCACTGCAGCAAGGACAGGAGGATTGGCATGCGGTTACCCGGTTAGCGAACTATCTGCTTCTGTTGTCTCCCTGTAACGCACCGCGCCGTAGCATACCACCTATCATCCGTTCGCCGTGGCAACTCCCTGCTTTCCTCCCAGCACTTCTCCGGCACCTGACCATTCTTTGCGGCTGTTCTTCCGCCTTCCGCGCTACGCGTTTTCTGGCGCCACAACTGCCCTTTCGCCCTCCCTATGGCCTCCGCGCCTCCGGTGCGCGCGGGGTTATGGACTCCGCCGCTGCCAGCTAAACCCGCATCCCCCCCTTCCGCACCTCCCCCTTCCGCGCCTCCCCTCTCCGCGCCTCCCCCTTCCGCCCAACCCCTTCCGCCGCTCCCCTTCCATCTCTGGCGGCGCCACCGGCAGCGCCGCGTGCGCTCCGCGTTCTCCGCCGCGACTGGCGCGCGGAAGCAGTGGGACGCCGCCTCGGCGGACGGGCTGCGCAGGCGACACCTGTCGTGAACCGATTGGTGCAGCTGAAGTGAGTCCGGGCGTCGCGCGTTTATAGCGAGTAAAATCATATCGAGTACATATCAAACTTATATCATATAGCTTGTCTAGGCTATAGTGGGGTAGACACTATGGGGTACAGTTTCCTAGGGTTTCCTACTTGTACCCAACCTTGTGCTAGATCATTCATTCCTCATTCTTCACATGGTATCAGAGCAGGTTCCCTAGTGGGAACGCTTCCTTGGGCCCACCACTGAAACCTTCTTTTTGACCGGAGCGTCTGTCGCTCCTGCCCGAGGCGCGCCTTGTTCGCCGCCCCTAACGGCCCCGTCGCCGCCCTAGCGGCCCCGTCGCCATCTCTCACCCTACGCGGCCTCGTCGCCGCCCCTAAAGGCCCCGTCGTCGCCTCTAGCGGCCTCGTCGCCGCTCCCCTTCCTACGCGGCCCTGTCGCCGCCACTACATGGCCCCTTCGCCGCCTCTACGCGACCACGTCGCCGCTCCCCTCCCTCCGCGGCCCCGTCGCCGCTCCCCTCCCTCCGCGGCCCCGTCGCCGCCCCTAGCGGCCCCAACGCCGCCTCTACCGAGCAGCCCAGCAGCTGAGCCGCCCAACAGCAGAGCCGCCGAGCCGCCCAGCAGCCGAGCCGCCGAGCCGCCCAGCAACCGAGCCGCCGAGCCGCCCGACAGCCAAGCCGCCCGGTAGCCGAGCCACCCAACAGCCGAGCCGCCCGAGAGCCGAGCCGCCCAGCAGCCGAGCCGCCCAGCAGCCAAGCCGCCGAGCCGCCCTGCCGTCGAGCCGCAACTGTTCCTACCGGCACGCCCCGGCCCTACTTCCTCGGACTGGTGAGATCACTCCCTGTTAGGCACTGCAGTCATGGCTACCCCCAGTGTTCTTACCTTTGATACTGAGGGTCGTGTTGTTGACTTTGAGGTCTGGATCGATGACCTCCAGCTGTTCCTCCAGTGCGATAGGGCAGACGGACTCTCTCTGTTCGATCTCACCTCTAGTGCCTCCCTTGCCCCGCCTGCTACTGCTGACAGCACTGTTCGCTCACAGTGGGCCACACGCAATGCTGCTGCCCGTCTTGTTGTGCGTCGCCACTTACCGACCACTGAGCGTGCGCACTTTAGCTAGTACAAGAGCGCTCAGACCTTGTACGACGCTGTAGTTGCACGCTACTCTTCCCCTGCCGCTGCTGCGCTAAGCCGCCTCATACTAGCGTACCTCTTCCCTGACCTTGCTACCTTTCCCACAGTCGCTGACCTCATTACGCACCTCCGCACTAGTGACACTCGCTACCGCGCTGCGCTTCCTGCTGAGTTCTGTGCCAAGAATCCCCCCCCCCCATATACATTACCCTCTACTACGTAGTCACCCGGCTCCCTGACTCCCTTCGCTTAGTCAGGAACCACTTCCTCTCAGTCTGCCCCACCACACTCACCGTTAACCTCCTCGAGGAGCGCCTCCTAGCAGCAGAGAAGAGCATAGTCGCTGTAAGAGCCTCTCGTGGTGACCCTCGCACCCCCGTCTTTGAGAAATGTTCCCCTTCCCCCCTCTTGCCCTCTGTTGCTTCTGCTGCTGCGGCCGACCACGTTGGTTTCGAGTCAGTAGGCGCTGCGTCTAACCCTAGCGGGAGACGCCGCACCGGCAAGGGCAAGGGGGGCAAGGGCGCTCGAGGGGCTGGCGGGGGCGGTGGAGGTGGTAGAGGAGGCAGTGGAGGGGGTGGGGGAGGTAGTGGGAGTGGTGGCGGGGGTGGAGGTGTCGGTGGCAGCACTGGAGGCGGAGGAGGCGGCGGCGGTGGCGGAGGGAGCGGAGGCGGCGGAGGCGGCGGAGGTGGCGGAGGCGGCGGAGGTGGCGGAGGCGGCAGTGGTGGAGCTGGTCGCGGCTCTACGCAGAAGAGTGGGTCTGCTGGTGGTCACCGCCAGCAGCAGCAGCGCGGTCGTGAGACCCTGTCCCCTCAGCAGCTTCGTGAGTGGTACGCTGGGCGTCAGCGAGGTGGAGGTACTAGTCACTGCACCTACGTCCTCCGTATAGGCGACCGTGCTGGTGAGCAGTGTGGGGGCCCGCACTCCACCCAGCGCTGCTTCAGCCGCCTGACGGACGCGTGGCGTCACGAGTTCCCTGAGGCCTCTGAGATCCCTCGCTGGGACGTTCTGACCCGGGCATTGACGCTGCTGCTCTAGGTGCTGGTGAGGCTGCTGCTCTAGGTGCTAGTGCGTCTGCTGCCCCAAGTGCTGGTGAGTCTGCTCTCTCAGGTACTACGTCAGCTCAGGCCATACACACCTTCACCCTTGACTCGGGTGCTTCCCGCTCCTTCTTTCGAGACCGCACCACACTTATGCCGCTTAGTCGGCCGGTTGCGGTCTCCCTGGCGGACCCCTCTGGGGGTCCTGTCCTTGCTAGCTTCTCCACTGTCTTACCGTGCCCGGCAGCCCCCTCTGGCACCCTGTTAGGTCTCTACCTCCCCTCGTTCTCTACAAACCTTGTGAGTGGAGCTGATCTACAGGATAGGGGGGTTGACCAGTTCAGTCCTGCGAGTCTGCGGGTGACCCACTTCACGTGTGCTCGGACAGGCCGACACTTGGCCACGTTCACCCGTCGGCCGGGGTCGAGCCTGTACACACTTACTACTGAGTCTCCTCCGGTTGCTGAGTCTGGTCAGGTAGCTGCGTCGAGTCAGGTGTTTGCTGCAGCGTCCAGGTCTGGTCCTGAGTCTGCTCCCTGCTCGTGTCGTCTCCTGTCCCACCAGACTCTCCTTTGGCACCACCGCCTTGGTCACCCCTCCCTGCCTCGTCTCCGAGGCATGGCCTCCCGTGTCCTTGTCTCTGGTCTCCCCCAGTCTCTCCCTCACCTACCTCAGGGGCCTGCCCCTACCTGCTTCTCCTGCGTTGAGGGGCGACAGCGCGCCGCCCCTCACTCCTCAGAGTTTCCTCCGACAGAGGCTCCGTTGCAGACTCTTCACATGGACGTGTGGGGCCCCGCCCACGTCCGTGGCCAGGGTCACGAGCGTTACTTCCTGTTGGTGGTTGACGACTACTCGCGTTACACCACAGGGATTCCCTTGCGCAGCAAGTGTGACGTCACTGAGGTGTTGATCGACTGGATCTGCGCAGCTCGTCTCCAGCTCAGAGAGAGTTTAAGCTCGGACTTTCCTGTTCTGCGTCTGCACTCTGACAGAGGCGGGGAGTTTTCCTCTGCCCGTGTGGGAGCCTTCTATCGTGCACAGGGCATCCGCCAGACATTCACGCTTCCGGCCTCTCCACATAAAAATGGGATTGCAGAGCGCTGCATTGGCATGGTGATGGACGTCGCTCGTACGTCCATGATCCATGCGGCTGCTCCCCATTTTCTATGGCCGTTTGCGGCTCACTACGCAGCGCATCAGATCAACCTTTAGCCCCGGGTCTCCTTGCCAGAGACCTCCCCCACCTTGCGGTGGACCGGGAAGGTTGGCGATGCGTCTGCATTTCGGGTCTGGGGATCTCGGGCATTTGTCCGCGACTTGTCTGCGAACAAGCTGACCCCTCGTGCTGTTCCCTGCGTCTTCCTTGGCTTCCCCCTTGACGCGCCTGGGTGGTAGTTTTACCACCCCACCTCGCGCCGTGTTCTGACCTCCCAGGACGTCACCTTTGACGAGTCGGTACCTTACTACCGTCTCTTGCCCTACCGCACTGCGCCCCTCCCCCCACCGCCGCTCTTCCTTGCGCCAGGTCCTCCCCCGGTATACCCCCTCTCCCCTCATGGTCCTGCCCCGTAAGGTGTGTCCCAGGTAAACGCACTCGAGCTTGTCGAGGTAGCTGTTGACTCTTGTGCTGCTAGAGGTGCTGAGCCTGCGGGTGCCGGGTCTGGAGGTGCTGGGCCTGGGGATGCTGAGCCTAGGGGTGCTGAGTCTAGGGGTGCTGAGCTTGGGGGTGCTGAGTCTGGGGGTGCTGAGCCTGGGGGTGCTGAGTCTAGGGGTGCTGAGCCCGGGGGTGCGGAGCCTTGGGGTTCGTAGCCTGGGGGTGCGGAGCCTGGAGGTGCTGGGTCTGCTCGTGTGGCCGCTCGCGATGCTTCGTCGAGGCGGGAGCCACTCTCTCCACAGGAGCTGCGCGAGTGGTTTGCCCGGCACTAGAGCCGTGCTGCTGGAGCTGGAGGTACTAATGTTGTGGCTGGTCCCGGAGGTACTCGTACTGGCGGTGCTGGAGCTGTTGGGACTGGGGGTGCTGCTGGGGCTGCTGGAGTTGGTCCTGCTGGGGGTGCTGTTGGAGCTGCTGGCGGTACAGGAGCTGCCGGTCCTCCTGGAGCTGGAGCTGCTGGGGGTGTTGGCGCTGGTGGTTCTGCTGGCGCTGGTGCGTCTGAGGGTGCTGGAGTTGGCGCTAGTGCTGCTGGTGGGGGTACTGGTGCTGTCCCTGCTTGTTCTGGAGGCGCTGAGCGGCCACGGCCGTACTTCGTTTCGCTCCTTGAGCAGGTTCTTGGTCTCCCGCCTTCTACTGGTCCTACTCCTCCCTTAGAGTGTCCACAGCCTGTCCAGTCGCAGTCATAGTTACAGCCCGCCTCCCCCCGACCTGCTCCCTCTCCCTACACTGGTCCTACTGAAGGTCTTGCTGAGCGTCGTGCGCTTGCGTCTCGTCCTGCGTCGCCTGTTCGTGCTGCTCGCACTAGTCGTCGTGCTCCGCGTCCGCGTCCTCCTGCGGTCCTAGGGACACACTAGATGGTGCTGCGTCCTTCCACTGCTCCTTTGCGTGTCCCGTTGCCGTCTCCTCCAGAGTCCTCTCTTCCTATTCTTGCTGACCCGGAGTCGGACTCTCTTCGTGCTGCCAGTCCTACTGTCACGCGTCTTCTGGCTACTGTTGTTATTGACCCTTCCTTTGAGTCCACTACAGCGTCTGCCCTAGTTGCTGAGCTTGTCGACTTTGCTGCTCGCTGTCGTCTAGACTACGCTGCTAGTCTTGTTGCTGAGTCTGAGTCTGTCTGTCCTCCGTCCGTCGGGGGAGAGTGTGCGCTCAGCACGGACGTCCTTGAGGACAGGCAGGAGGAGTTCCAATGTTTTGCTGCTGCTTTGCCTCCTCTCGTGTCCACGCTGATTGCCCCTGAGGGAGACCCGGATGCACCAGACATCCCGACTCCTCGATCGTACGCTGAGGCGATCGAGGGTCCCTACTCCTCACAGTGGCAGTCAGCCATGGACGCAGAGATGGCTTCCTGGAACTCCACAGGCGCCTACGTCGACGAGGTTCCCCCACCTTGGGCGAACATCGTCAGTGGCATGTGGATTTTCAGGGTGAAGCGGCCGCCGGGTTCTCCGCCTGTCTTCAAGGCGCGTTACGTGGCTCGAGGCTTCAGTCAGCGGCAGGGAGTTGAGTACTTTCAGACCTTCTCTCCCACCCCGAAGATGACCACTCTTCGGGTGCTGCTACACATTGCCGCTCAGCGCGACTACGAGCTTCACTCTCTTGACTTCAGCACAGCTTTCCTGCATGGCAGCCTGCACGAGAAGATCTGGCTGCGCCGCCCACCTGGATTCACTGGGTCTTTTCCCCCTGGTACCCAGTGGAGCCTCCGGCGTCCAGTCTACGGTCTCCGCCAGGCGCCCCGTGAGTGGCACAACACAGTGAGGACTACACTTGCGGCTCTTGGGTTTGCTCCTTCTACTGCCGACCCGTCGCTGTTTCTACGCACCGACACCTCTTTGCCGCCGTTCTACATCCTCGTGTATGTCGACGACTTGGTCTTTGCCACTGCTGACACTACTGGACTCGCCCACGTGAAGTCTGAGCTGCAGAAGAGACACACATGCACAGACCTGGGTGAACTGCGCAGCTACCTTGGCTTGCAGATCACCCGACACAGAGCACAGCGCACCATTACCCTGACTCAGTCACACATGGTGCAGCAGGTCCTTCAGCGCTTCGACTTCACGTACTCCTCGCCTCAGGCCACTCCTCTGTCTACTCGCCACTCGCTCTCAGCTCTGCCTTCGGATGAGTCCGTAGAGCTGAGTGGCCCGTACCCAGAGCTTGTTGGCTGCCTCATGTACCTGATGACCTGCACACGACCTGACCTTGCATACCCTTTTAGCATCTTGGCACGGTATGTTGCTCCTGGGAGACACCGACCAGAGCACATGGCTGCAGCGAAGAGGGTGTTGCGCTACTTGTGCAGTACGTCGGGCATGGGGCTAGTGCTTGGAGGGCAACGTCGAGTGGTCCTCACAGGTCACGCAGACGCTTCTTGGGCTGACGACCAGGCTACGCAGCGGTCGTCATAGGGTTACACCTTCAGCCTTAGCTCCAGCTCTGTTTTGTGGCGGTCTACCCGCTCGTCTTCTGTTCTCGGCTCCAGCTGTGAGGCTGAGATCTACGCGGGGGCCATGGCTGCACAGGAGCTATGCTGGCTCACCTTCCTGCTGACTGACCTAGGAGAGCCGCCTCGTTCTCCTCCAGTTCTGTACGTAGACAACAAGGCCATGCTGGCCTTGTGTCGGGAGCATAGACTAGAGCACAGAACGAAGCACATTGCTCTCCGCTACTTCCTTGCTCGTGAGCTGCAGCAGCGTGGTCAGCTGCGCCTTGCTTACGTGGCCTCTGAGGCCAACACTGCTGATATCTTTACCAAGGCACTTCCGCCTGGTGATCATCAGCGCTTCTGTACGATGCTTGGTCTTGTGTCTACGTGGCCTCACTTGCTCACTTCTTGACCTTGCTTGTACTGTGATCTTTCTTTACCTGCACTTGCCTGTTTACCTTTATATATGATCTCGCATGTGAACTGGCCTTGTGGCCTTGCTCTTGTGCTCGGATTGTGTGGTGATGTTGTGATCCACCCTGAGCTTGCTTTGCTTTGCTTGACTGGTCTTGTGACCTCTTGTTCTCCCCCACTTTGCCTCTGGGGGTGTGTCAAACTCATATCATATAGCTTGTCTAGGCTATAGTGGGGTAGACACTATGGGGTACAGTTTCCTAGGGTTTCTTAGTTGTACCCAACCTTGTGCTAGTTCATTCATTCCTCATTCTTCCTTGTACAGACGATGAGGGATGGATTTTGTAGCACAGGTTATGGCGCTGATGTAAATTGGTGGTGAACATACCCGGGAACCGCTTCACTTTCCCTTCACTCCCCTCCACTCCTCCCCCTCTCCTCCCCACTCCTCTTCACTCCTCTGTGACTGCGCGTAGGCAGCTACCCAGCCAGGACATGGGGGCGG